AAAAAGACCCAAAAATCGGGACCGTTCCTATAAAATCGGGACATCTGGTCACCCTAGTCCTAGGGCCCACCTGCCTTGTAGGGCCGCTTCAGGCACTCCCTGCCTCAGCTTTCTCCTCCCAGGCGGGGCCCTTCAGCCTTCCCCACGCAGGCTTGATTTGGTGCCATGGCTCAGCCCTTCAGCCAAATCACTAAAACTTAACTCCTTTCACGTAACGAGAGCCCAGACCAACACAAAGTTCTTCCCCCTACTACCCAGCCTCCTGGGCTCCCGTGAAGTCTCTCTGTTCTGGGACAGAACGCTGACTCCCAGGCTAAACTTGCTCTCTGGGGTTCCTGCCCCACACTGAGTTCTCGGCCCTTCTGTGAGGCCCAGGAGTTCATCATGCTGCCACCTGACCCAGGAGGAGTCTCGCTCCCTTAGGGGAGGCAGCTAATGATGGCACAGGCCGGGCTGATTGAACAGGTCCCCTGGCACTTAAAGATGTTTCAAAGAAGCACTGAAGCCTACTGAAGTCCGGGGGTGGGGGTGTCTCTTGCTGGTCCATCCGCACGGTCCATTGCAGAGAGGCTCATTGCCCCTTCTCCACACTGCACAGGGTCAGGCCCAGTTAAACAGCATGGGGAGGCCCACTGCTAACCCAAGCACAATTAGCACCCATAGCTATGCACAGGGGCCCCAGAGAGCAGGCTGGGCAGGTCTCAGTGTCTCCAGAGCCCAGTGGTCTCTATAGCACCCCCAAAGCCAGATCAACAGAGCCCTGGAGTCTATGGCACATGGGGACAGATGGGGGAACACAAGGGTGTCAGTCAGCCTGGGCATGCCATGGCTTATTCATTTCAATGATTTCCATTGAAATGAGCTGGTTGGGTTTCAGGAGCCCCACACCTTCCCCCTCAGACCTCAGGCTACTTTCTCTTACTCAGAACTGAAAAGCATCTAGCCAGGCCCGGGTCAGGCAGAGACGTGAAATGGCACTTCCCTGCTGGGCACCAGCGGGACACGAGCCTTTGGCCTCTCGGTTGCTGGTGATGACTAAAATGTGCCACTCTGAGGGCTGGAGCAGGGCTCCCTGGAATGGCAGCATCTGGCTCCCCAGTAAGGACAGAACAAACACCCCAAGGAAAACTACAGCCCCAGCCCCCAAAGGCCAGCAACCACCCTGGCAGGCTCCTTCCAGCCTTTCCAACAAACAGAACCCGCGATTGAGCCTCTCACCTGCAGCCTCTCCAGGGAGAGTCCAGTCCTGGGACATGCCAGGTCTTCTGGCTTTGTTCCTGTCCAGTCCCCTTCCCCTCTGAGCAAGCTCTTCCCTCGCTTCCATCCTGTTCCTGGTTAAATGCCCACCAGCTGAAAGCTTTCTCACACCAAATGGCAAGTAACAGGTTCCAGGCCAGGCCCTGCTGGGAATTAACCCCTTGTTTCCCTGCTCCAGCAGGGGTCAGCGCACCCTGTCACGGGGCTGTGCCAAATGAGTCTGGTGGAGCTCTGACAAATTTCTATGGGCCAAAGTGTCCACCTCACACAAACCAGCATCAGAACCAGCACTAAGTGGTGATGGTGTTGCTCAAGGACTGAATGGGCCAGCGAGTCTTACCGAAAATGATGAGGGCTGTGAAGTGCCAGGGCAGACAGACATCCTTGGACCATTTAACAGAGCTGGAAATAGAGATTCAGCTGAAAGCAAGGAGAAGGACTTGGAAACATGAGGGTACGGGGCAAGAACAACGTAAACTGCAAGCTGTAGCCAGTACTTCATAACAAATTACCTTCCTGTCTGACGAGGTATTTCTCACCCACGGGTCATTTCTCGCAGCATTGTTCTAGTTCCAGAAGCTAGGACTCAACTTTCATGAGACAGCGCCGGCTGGTCAAGTCACTCCTCTGTAACTGAAACCACTTGGGCCATTTCCGGTGCTCTTACACAATCACAACTATTGTCTCTTAGCCCAGGTAGCCCCACTCCAGCTAGAACTCTCGTGGGGTTCATTTGTCTTTGTAAACCCTCCAGCCTGCATCTTGCTGAGACAGTAAATACAGGCTGTCTCCACGGGTGCTCACTGTTCCCATGTTGATTGGGTCAGCTCTCAGCCTCCCTCTCGTCAGGTGACAGGTTGCATTCCCAGTGGATTTGGAACATAATATTCTACGTGTTATGTAAAAAGAAAAGGAGGACTAGTGGCACCTTAGAGACTAACCAATTTATTTGAGCATGAGCTTTCGTGAGCTACAGCTCACTTCATCGGATGCATTCAGTGGAAAATTTTCCACTTTTTCCTTTTCTTTTTCCGAATACAGACTAACACGGCTGCTACTCTGATACGTGTTATGTGGCTCTCAAACTGTTTCCCTCTAGCAAACCTCTTGCAATGCCCAGGACTTAGCTTTAGGCAGAGACCCCACATGTCCTCCCTTGGGTGGAATATTTAGAAGATGGCTGGACATGGAGCAATATACCCACCTGGGCATGGCTGTGTCACACTAGCTACATCGAGCTAAAAACTACAGGGCTCTCTCACTGTGCAATGTTCTGCTTCTGGCCATGAAGACACAGCCAATGCCATATGCTGGCCTGGCCCAGCACTGGTCATCTTCCAGCTCCTGAACGTATTTCCATTACCAACACATTAGTAACGGGCAAACAGGCCTGACCTTCAGAGCTTGTCCATGCCCATGGCTCAGCGGGAGGCTCCTTCCGTTATTATCCAGTTACTAGCTGGAAATGGCTCAATGATTCACGTCAGCGAATTACCAGCTATAGCCCCAAATGCACCCGTCTCTCGGTAACTTGCTTGACAGTGACAAGGTCACCTTTTTATTTATAGATTTTGCTCCATTGTTTCCCATTTTGAAACCGCAGTTACAGCCTCAGGCTAGGGGGCGGGGGAGCAAGACAACTCCGAAGGTGACAGGGATGAACGGTAGCTTTACAATGAGCGGCTGGTGACTGACACAGGGCCAAACCAGCTGCATTTTCCTTACTGCATAGAAAATGAAAAAAATGAAAAAGCTGATTGTTCACAGGAGAAGACCAATAATAACCCAGCACCTCTGGCTTTCAGCCTCAGCAAGGAGCTGCAGGAAATACAGGGAAACCTGGACCCAGGCAACAACCAGGTCTGGGTCCAGGTTTCCATATGGTTGCCATGCAATGTCCTCCCACCTGTTCTTAAAGACCCACAGCTAGCAGGCAACCCATTGTTGGTAGCCCCTGGAGAGACTGCTACACTGCCAGGCTCTACTCAGGTTGGTGGATGGGGTTAGGACAGGCTCTTCCTCAAGAGCTGTCACAGGCCGCGACCTTCCCTGCATAGACAGTGCTGTTCTACCCGCGCTCCCCACCCCCCTGAGCGCTACAGGCGGCAGGAAGCAGTAACTGAGCCTTGCCCTGGTCCCAGCCACAAAGGTATGGACCGAGCTAACATCGTGGGCATTAGAACCTAGGCCCTGACCCAGGGGTCGCTGTCTGGCTAGTGACAGCCCCAGGGCCAGATTAAGACCTTTAGAGGCCCTAAGCACTGAAAAGATTATGGTGCCCCCCTCATATGTAATTCAAAATAAAAACAATGCTATCCCGTAAAATAAAATTTTATTTTTCGAAATGGCACAAAACTTACAAGTATGCTGAAATTAAAACAGCTTCTTTCTAGATTTTCTGATTGCAAAATTCTGGATAAGTTCATCGAAGCTGATTCGACGAACCATGTCCGCTTCCATACACAATAGGGAAAGTGAATCAAGTCTGCCCTGACACATTGTTGTTCTCTGAGCGTTTTTTGTTCTTTTCAGCTGAGAAAAAGAGCATTCTGCAGAGAGCTTAGTAATCATCAATGTTAGAAAAATACGTCGTGCAATCTCTACATTTGGAAATACACATTGTGTTCCGCCTTTCAATATTGTGTCATGAAGATCAGTGTGACTGAATTTCATTTTTCCTGTTTCATTAAACTTTGCACGCACATAACAGTGGAACTGCCGCACTTCTCCACAGAGATTCATGTTCAAGTCAGCAGAGTCTGAGTCAACGAGCTTTTGGGAACCTTGTGAATATTGTTCATCAGATAAGTCCATATTGTTTAGAAAAGAAAATCTACTTGATACTTCTTTGTACACTTCACCTCTCCTCTTCATATGAGCTTCAAGCGTATCAATTGTTGTGTACTAAGTAGATACGCAATATTTGTCTCTAGGATTCAATGCTGTTTCTGTTGCACTGCTATCATTTGCTTGTTTTTTCCTGATTCGCTTGCGGGACTGGGCTTCTTTGTAGTTAGTATCAGGCAAGACATCTTTTGATAGGTCTTCAAATCTTTCAAAATCATTCCTCAAATGCATTTGATGCAGTGAGCTGTAGCTTATGCTCAAATAAATTTGTTAGTCTCTGAGGTGCCACAAGTCCTCCTGTTCTTTTTGCGAATACAGACTGACACGGCTGCTCCTCTGAATTCCTCAAAGTGTGTAAGGGGTCTCCTAATGATTGACAGAGGTCTGCACACCTTTTCAAATCCAATTCTTTTTCTTGGAGAGCTTGACTTGTGTGGTAAAAGAGAACAGAAAAACGGGGGAGGAGTGTGTAGTGCAGTGTAAGGAAGTTTAACAAAGTTCTGATTTTTCCATGATGATTACTTCGATGCTTGTTTTGAAATATCAAATATCAATTTTTTTCAAAAAAAGTCTCACTTTTTTTCCTGCCCCCTGCTTTGCTGGTGCCCTAAGTAGGTGCTTAGTCTGCCTATTGGGTAATCCAGCCCTGGCCAGCCCCATGCCACCTGGTGGAGAACAATCCCCATCCCAGTCCCCTGGAGGTTGGAGGCCCCTGTTCCACGGTCCCGGGAAAGCGGGGTGCTCCTTGACCCATGTTACTTGGGGATGGGGGGTCCAGCCCCTTATCCCCTGGGCCGTGGGGCTCCAGCCCCTTAGTCCTTACACAAAACCGAAAGCAGCCCCCGCAGGAAAGAGAAAGTGAAATCGCTCCGGCGCAGCTCTTTCGCTTTCGTCCTGCCTGCTCCAGCACCTTCTCCGGGGACACAGCTCGTGTCTGCACCCCGTGGGCGCTTCACCCCGCGCCCGCCTGGCTCCGCAGCTCCCGCGGGCATCGGCCAGCGCGCAGGGCAGGGCCTGGGGCAGCCGAGCAGCCCTCGGGCCGCCGGCTGAAGCCGGGTGGTCGCGGGCGGAGCTGCGCGAGCAGAGAGCAGGGCCCGGAGCCGGTGTCCAGGCCGGGCGCTTTGGGGTCCCGCGGAGAGCCCCGGGCGCAGTGCCCTGGCGGGCAGAGGCGCAGGGCCCCGGCGCTAGGCAGGGTCCGGCTGGCGAGGGCCGCCCACATGGCGGAGACAGGGAGCCACATGCGGCTCAAGGAATGGCTTATCGCCCAGATCGACAGCGGCAGGTACCCGGGGCTGCGCTGGGAGAACCGCGAGAAAACCATCTTCCGCATCCCCTGGAAACACGCCGCCAAGCAGGACTATCGCCAGCAGCAGGACGCGGCGCTCTTCAAGGTAGCGGGCGGGCACCTGGGGCGGCGGGCAGGAGCCGCGGGGCCGGCGGGGGGCCGCGCTGCAGGTCCCCGGGGAAAGAGATCGGAGCCTGCAGCCAGGCTCTGGGGCGTGGGGTGAATCGCAGCGTGAGACGCTTCAGCGGCTGCTCCCCTCCTCCCTTCCCTCCATCAGCTCCAGCGCCTCCCTTCTCTGCCTCTCCCACCGCCCGCCCCCCAGCCCCGGCTCTCTGCCACCGCCCCAGCCCTCCTGCCATCCACACCCTGGCCGGCACCACCGCAGCCCCTCGGACTGGGCGCTGGTGCCCTTCTCTCAAAGGCTGTTCCTGGAGGCCTGGCAGCATGCACCTGCGCCGTGCTAGGCACCTGCTAAGCTGTGACCTGCCTGGTCATGGGCCTGCCCAGAAGAGTCTCGCGGGGGGGGGGCACCTCCCGTGGTTGCAGGGTGAAGTGCGGGGCAGCTTTTGCCCGTTTCCTTGCATTGCAGGCCTGGGCTGTCTACAAGGGGAAGTACCAGGAAGGAACAAAGGCAGACCCCTCCACCTGGAAAACCCGCCTCCGGTGCGCCCTGAACAAAAGCACCGATTTTCAGGAGGTCCCCGAAAGAAGCCAGCTGGACATCTCAGAGCCGTACAAAGTGTACCAGATCCTATCGGATGGAGCCAGAGACCCCGGTATGGCGTCCCTGGGACCTCGGAAGGGAGGTTGCCTCTTCCAACTTGAGATGGAGCCACAGTCTTGTTGTTCCTTTTCGGGAAGCATTTCCCACCCCTCCTGTTCCACAAACCCAGAGTCACTCTTCCCTACGCTGGTCCCTTCCCAATAACCCTCCTCTGCCAGGATCCAGTCTGCCCTGGGGAAATTAGTTTGTTTCCAGATAGCACCCAGGTCTGGGCCTGAGGGATGGGAACTGTTAAACGCCAAATGGGACATTCTTATCCCCAGCACCACACGGGAGGTAGGCAGGGCAGTACCCATGCTGGTGCATGGCCGAGTTCGGAAGGAAATAACCTCCAGCAGCAAACCCTCCCTACCACTGGGGTGGGCGTTGGCAGAGGGAATGTGTCCTGATTCTACAGCATGGCTCTTCCGATCGCTCAGCATCCCCTGGAGCCGGCTGTGGGAAGACGGAGCGTGTCCAGGTTACGAGGAGCATGCCCGTAGCTCAGGAATGCCAAGCACTTAGCAGACAGAATACGTTCACATTGCAGGAAACTTCGTCCCGCAGCTTTTCGGGGCTCATTCGAGGTCGCTTGGAGCTGGGGAAGTGCTGGGTTTGATTTCCTCCAGGCAATTACTGGAGCCACAATTTGCAGTGAAAGGAAGGGCATGAAGTCGTGTTCTTCTGGGCAGTGATCCCAGGGAGGGCAAGTATTCTCGCAGCAGCTCTGTTGCTCTCAGGCGAGTAACAGATTTCATGTTCTCTCTGCAGAGAAGGAAGGCAGCCTGGAGTCCCCTCCCCCAGAAGAACAGCAGGCAAGCCAGCCCCCAGCCCCAGGGGACCCGGAGATGGGAGTTAACTGCGGGCCAGACAAGGTGCGAGTGGGTTGAGGTTATCATCTGCACTGACCTTTCTCTTGTCCAGTCCTCTTTCCTCCTTTTGTCTGCCCCACAGAGAACATGGGTTCCAGGTTTGATAACAAGTCTTGGTATTTTACGGGTGTCCCCACACAGGTCTCTGGCTACTTTCATTTCATGATACTTTGTACCTGTCTAGTTCCCTTTATCCAAGGATCTCAAAGAGCTTTACAAACATCTAGCTGAGAGCCTTGCAGCACTGCTTTGAGGTAGGCAAGGACTGTCATCATTTTACACATGGGAAACTGAGGCATGGACAGCAGGGAAGTGATTTGTCCAGAGAACCTGGAATGGAACTCAGGTCACCTGGTTCCCAGGTCTTTGCTTGACTCCTCCCTTCGTCCTGTTCTCATGGGTTCTGTTCTCTTCCTCCCAGACTAGCATGTCCTCAGGTTTGGAAGAGGATGGGAAGAAGGATCTGATGGAGACCTGCCAGACTTCTCCAGTCCCGCTGGTCTCCCACTTACCAAGCCATCCGGCAGACTGGGGTAAGGAAGGGGACTTGTCCATTCCCAGCCTCTCATCTCTTTACCAGTACCCATGAGAGCAGTTGCTAAAGATGTTATTTTTGATTTTTTAAAGATTAGTTTCACTCATTTCTTATTCACTCCCCTCACTGCTTCTGACCAGGGATGGTCCTGAGCCTTAAAGTCTGGGCCCAAACTCCTCCAGGGCTTGGGGTGGCTTCTGATACCCTCTAGTTCCCCAGTGATTACAGGAATCCCCTACTCTTTTTCAGAGTTCCCTTTAATTGAGTGAGTTCTGTCACTATGAGACATGGGCACAGACCAGAACCTGCGATCCAAGTACCCCTGCACTTTGGGTCCGGATCTGAAACCATGGTAGCTCTGCCCATCTCTGTAACTATATTCCAGCCAGGATGCTAGCTACACTAACAGATGATGCCCCAACTCAGAGCTAAATTGGTTCACTTTACTCAGTGCTTCTTGTCAGCAGTCTGGGAAAGAAACATACCCTCGGCCAGTCCCTGCACTGACTTGGGTTATTAGTTATAGCCGTGGTTCTCAGCCTTTCTAGACTCCTGTACCCCTTTCAGGAGGCTGATTTGTCTTGCACACCCCCAAGTTTCACCTCGCTTAAATCTACTTTCTTACAAAATCAGACATAAAATACAAAAGGGTCACAGCCACACTAGTACTGAAAAAGTGCTGACTTTCTCTTTGTTGCCATAGAATTATAAAATAAATCAATGGGAATATAAATACCGTACGTACATTTCACTTATTCAGTGATACTTGAGCCTTGAGTTTTTCACTTGTGAGCCTTGTCTGAAACCCAAGACCCACTACCTGGGTCTGAAGCATGTAACTTAGCTTCACAGGCCCCCCAGTGCTATGAGGCCCCAGGCAATTGCCCTGCTTGCTACCTCCTAATGCTGGCCCTGTACTTCCGACCCCTGGTTGAGAGCCACTGCGTTACAGCACATGCTGGGTAACACTTGCTGTGGTGCACAATTTCGGCAGCATATGCAGGCATCGCTCGCTGACATGCACTGCCTCGGACACAGCTGCTCTGCAGTGAAGAGCAGCGGAGTTACAAGGAACTGGGTAGTTTGTTGGCCAGAACCTGGAAACCTGCTTTTGATCAGTTTACTTCAAGGGGCTTTTAAGAGTTTCCTGAGCAGTGAGCAAAGGGCTGTCAGCCTGGCTGGGTTTCCAGCTCCCGATTCAGAGCCTCTGTGGGAGTGTGTCTAATGAGTGGAGCTCAAGAACACAGGCAGGACTCCTGGGTTCTGTTCCCAGCTCGGCCACTAACTCACTCTTTGACTTTGGCCAAGTTACTTAGTCACCTCTTGGTGCCTCATTCCACTCCTCCATATAACGAGTGCAACTGGACTTCGTGACAGGGCGCTCATGGCCCTGATCCAGCCCTGTTTGGCAAGTGCTTTGAGCTCCGTGGATGAAGGGCACAATATTTTCTGTTGTTAGTCTCCTTCAGCTGCCTGTGGGAGCCATATAATCAACCTGCTGGCTGCTGTCAGAAATGCCGGGTGCATGCAGACAGAGCAGCCCCATGCTCCGTAGATCTCGGGCACATACATGGCTGAGGAAAGTACAGCAGGGGTGGGAGAGGAAGAACAGGGAGGGAGTTACAGGCGTGGGCGTTTGTTGCCCAGTTGCCTAACAGACCGAACATCTAAATCCTGCTCTCCCTCTCCCAGCCAGACACTTACTCTGTTCTGTGGGGCTGCACGGGTGGGAGAGAGAAGAGATTTGACACAAATCTATGGAAACATGGGCCATTCTGAGCACTGCTCCGCTGCTCCCCAGATGGCTTTTCCTGCCGGGCATAGAGACTGCCAGAGAGGAGCTCACCAGTTCTCAGGCTCTCTGCCCCCACCCTTGGGAAAAGCCGGGGCACCCAATAACAAGTGCTGTGCTCATGAGAAACTCCCCTGCTCTCTGGAGGCAAAGAGAGGGCATTGGACTGACTGCCCCAGGCCCGTCTCTGAGAGTGGATAACTTGGCAAGCTCGGTTTCTGTTTTGTTCCTAGGGTATCAGGTGAAAGGGGTTTTCTGTGGCTGGAGCCCAACACATGCTCGCTTTCTGCAGAGCCCACAGCTGGGTGATCCCAACTCCAATCACGTCCCCACTGCAGACATCAACAACTCAGGTAGAGGAGGGGAGGGGGGCAGCCCAGGATCTCCCCCTCTGCTGCACAGGGGAGGGAGGCAGAGAGGGAGACCCTGGCCCTATTGAAATCATTGACTTTAGTGAGGCCAGAATTTCACCCACCACTGGGATTCTGGGGCTCGGGATCTCCAGACCGTCGGGAACTGAAGTGCCCTCCTGCAGTTTGGGTGCTGAGGTTCTGTGGGGCTCTGCCATAGGGATCCCAGTCCTGGCTGGAGAGACGTGCACACACCTACCAGGGCTCCAGCATGGACATGGGATCAAGGGCTGACCCCTGGCTTTCTGTCCCTTCCGAGGCACATTCTGGTTTTTCAATTAAGCATTTTCACACAGGGGAATTAGGGGCTTGCCCTTCATTTTCCCCTTCCCCCAACACAAACACCGAGCAGCAGCTCGCAACCCTGGGGATGCTCTAACTTACCAGATGGTCCCTGCAGCAGCCCAGAATCGGGAAGGGAGTGTAAATCCCGCTCTGCCTGGCTTTGCCTTCGCATGGGGGCGGGTGTTCACATCCGGGGCAAGCTGGGCCCGGCTGGGTTTCCTGCCAACTGGACTTGCCCCTCACAGCACCAGGTGCTTGCCGTTCCAGCTAATGGTGCCTAAGCTCCGAGGCCTGGCCCACGTCTGGGAGGGGCTGGCCCCAGCACTGACATCCCTCCTCCCCTCCACAACACCTCCTGGCCTAACTCTAGGCAGGCAGCTGGCAGGTCTCCCGCTCCACCCTCCACTGCTGCAAGCTCCCCCCAGGAGCAACGCCCAGCTCAGCTGGGGGCAGGGCCCCGACCTGCTCCATGGTTCAGGGCAGCGCTGAGCATGTGGTCCCAGCTCCTCGCAGCACAGCACACTGACCGTTCCCCTCCGGCGGGCTGGGGCGGTTTGCTGCTGAGGCGGCGTGGAGCAGGGGATGTTAACCGGCGCTCTAGAGCCCTGCAGCACTGGGCTGCCTTCCAGCCCCGTCCATGCCTCCAGGTGGTTCCCTGGGATTGCTGCCGGGAGGTCGCTCGGCTCTGTCTGAGCCGGGGAGCTGGGCCCAGGGCCATCAGTGGCCGAGGGGCCCGTTCAGTGCCCTGGCTATGACTGAGTGTCAGTGACCCAGATACTGGGTTCCTGCGACCCACTGGCCCCCAACTTTCATCCATTGTCCCTGGGAGCTTCCCTACTTCCTGACCCCTCTTCCCTCCCCCACTCCCCCAGATTGCTGGCTGCATGTCCGCCTCTACTACCGCGACGTGCTGGTGAAGGAGTTCACCACCCGCACTGCTGAGGGCTGCCGTATCACCTACCGCCTGGTGCCGGCTGACAACGAGCGGCTCTACGGCCCATCCTCCATGGAGCAGATCCAGTTCCCCTCTCCCCGCCCGCTGACCGGCGACAGCAGGATGGCGGGCGTGACGGGCGTCTTGGAACGGCTTCTCCCCCACCTGGACCGGGGCGTCCTCTTGTGGGTGGCCCCCGAAGGCGTCTTCATGAAGCGGCAGTGCCAGGGCAGGGTATACTGGAACGGGCCCATGGCGCCTCACAGCAACCGACCCAACAAGCTGGAGCGGGAGAAAACCTACAAGCTCCTGGACACCCAGCAGTTCCTGCAGCGTACGTGCCCGTTCAGCGTGCCCGGGGGCAGCTCAAGGGCATGGCAGTGACGTGCTCGGGGAGGCTGGGAGACCTGGGCAAAGGGCATGGGGAAGAGAGGAGCATACAGCCCACCTCATCCTGCCCTAGTCACTGGGCACTTGCTCTTTGCCTCAGTGACCAGGGCCTGGGAGACGCTTGTTCTCCAGTACGTTACAGAACAGGGAATATGGGACTGAACTGGCTGGAATGTCTGTGCCTGGCGAGCCTGTGCTGGGTTGAATCAGAGCCACTCAGCTGTGTCTTATGTGCCCTGCTCTGCCAGCAGCATTTCTCCTTGGGCTCCAGTGCTAAGAGCCCGTGTTTGAGGAGCAGGAGTTCTCGCTCTGTGCTGGGCCGGGGAGTTCTGAGTTGCCTTGCGATGCACTGGAGTGACCTAAAATGGAGGACTTGTGGCACCTTAGAGACGAACCCATTTATTTAAGCATAAGCTTTCGTGAGCTACACCTCACTTCATTGGATGCATCCGTGAGCTGTAGCTCACGAAAGCTTATGCTTAAATAAATTGGTTAGTCTCTAAGGTGCCCCAAGTCCTTTTGTTCTTTTTGCGGATACAGACTAACACAGCTGCTACTCTCAAACCTGTAGTGACCTGGGAGGTCAAAGCTTTCGGACAGGATGAACCAGTATGACCCACGGGTTTCTTCCCGCTGAGACCCCCATTTGGGAGTTGTAAGGAGCCCGCTGGCTCTACGGCCCAGGGAGAGGACTAGCATGAGTCCCACCCCTGCTGCTGTCTCCCTCCCTCCCTCGAAGAGATCCATGCCTTCCCCCTGAGGACTGTGCATGACCCAGTGAAATCTCTCTGTGCCCCAAGATCCAGTGACCTTGCAGGGTGCTCCCCCGGTGCAGACCTTTGGACTGTCGTGTCTCCATCAGCCCCCTGGGCAGGGTCTGCCCAGCCCCGGCCGCGTGTGCCAGGCTATTGAGAGCGCGCCAAGTCATGGCTGGAAATGCTTGTGGGTTTCAGAACTACGGAGCTACCTGAGTCGTGGGGAGCCCATGCCCCAGTATCAGATCCGCCTGTGCTTCGGAGAGGAGTATCCCCCCACCCCAAGCCAGAACTTTCAGAAGCTCATCATGGCCCATGTGAGTATCTGGGGCAGCCGTGGGGGTTCTGCTGGACTTGGCTGGCTGTTTGTCCGGGGTCTGTCACATGGCCCCTGTGAACTCCGGGGTGGGGCACAAGCCCATACTTTCATTTTCTCCTGCTCTGCCCTGAGGCCCCGCCCTTGCTCCGCCTCTTCCTGCCTTGGCTCCACCTCCCAGGTCTCCACCCCGCCCACCCACCTCTAGCTCCTCTCCACCCCTCCCCCGGGCACCGCCCCACCAGCCGCTCACTGATCAGTGACCAGCCCTGGGGCCACAGAGCCACTGTGGCTGGTGGGTGCTGAGCACCCCCTATGTTTTCCCATGGTGCTTGAGCTCCGGAGTCGGCGCCTCTGTGGGGGAGGAACATGGGCTGCCAGTTCTCTCCTTCGGGCTCCCTCTCGTCAGCTCTTTACTAACCAAGTCTCCACGGCTGTCCCCCATTGCCCTGAGCGGCGGGTTGTAAATCGAAAAGGAGGACTTGTGGCACCTTAGAGACTAACCAATTTAATTGAGCATAAGCTTTCATGAGCTACAGCTCCCTTCATCGGTTGCATGCAGTGGAAAATACAGTGGGGAGATTTATATACACAGAGAACATGAAACAATGGGTGTTACCGTACACACTGTAAGTGATCAGGTAAGGTGAGCTATTACCAGCAGGAGAGAAAAAAAACCTTTTGTAGTGATAATCAAGGTGGGCCATTTCCAGCTGTTGACAAGCACGTGTGAGGAACAGTGGGGGGTGGGAAATAAACATGAGGAAATAGTTTTACTTTTTAAATCATGCTCCTGAGCCCTGGAACAAAGCAGGGTAGAGCAGCACCCGGCACCCGGCAGCTCCGACACAGGCTGCTGCAGGGCATGCTGGCTGGCTGGAGAGGAAGCCTGAGTTCCGGCCGCCCAGAGGTTTCGTAGACCCCAGCACACCGTGTGCTGGGCATGCAGGAGTGCACACTCAGCTCGCCAGGTCGGTGCGTGCTAGAACGAGGCAGCCACTGAGTGCCGGGGAGTGAGGGAGGTGACCGGGGTGTGCTGCAGGGCCTGTCTGCCTGCAATGACCCAACTGCGCCCTTGCATTGCAGGTTGAGCCAGTGTTTGCACGGGAGCTCTTCCTTCATGCCCAGCGCATGGGGCCACTGTCACAGCGCGACTCCTCACAGCTGCATGCCACTGATGCTTCCAGCCACATCACCCAGATCCTGAAACAGCTGTGCCAGCCCTGAGCCCCTGGTAGAGGAAGACGTGCCTCGACCCCACTCACACTCGAGCTCGTGTAGCGTGGAAAAGATCGTGCCCACCTCACACCCCCCCCACTAGCCCTGTCTCTAATGGAGGCCCTATAACCCGGGAGTAGCCTTGCATAACACAGCATGGAGTGACCCAGCCAGCCTCTGCACATAAGGACTAGAGCCTGGGATAGATCGACAGCGGTAACCCTGGAATCGGCCCTGTAGAGCTATTGGCATTAGCCCCTCTCTGGGGGGAGCATGAACTTTATCCGGAGCTCAGGCATGGGGACGTCAGCCCAGACTAATGTGTGGCAGGATAGCTGTGACATTGCTCTGCTGGAATACGACACGGGATTTGGGACATGGCGGGTTACGCTGATACAGAAGAAGTGTTGATTTTTGTACCCTGGCAACTGTGATTTTATGTCTCTGGTTGAAGCAGGGTGATGGTTAGTTCTGTGACCCTAGAAACCTGCCCTTCCGAAATGGCTGTGAATAAAACCGCTCTGGGTCAGTAGCACAGAGCTCAGGGCAGGACAGTGGGTTCAGAGCAGCTGATGACAATAAAGTAAAACAGAGACAGTAAAACTTACCTCTATTCCCCCACCCCGGGCTGGGGAGCAATAGCTCCAAACTGAATCTAGGGCCCAGTAGCCCCTGCTGGTGCCACAGGGAAGGTGCGTTCAGCCCCGAGCAGCTGCACTGAAATTCCCTGCTGAAGGCACTGGCTGATCAGGAGAGGGAGTTCCCCGCAGTGGCTTTGCGGCTGGTAGGTGCCATCTAGCGGAGAGCAGGCAGGAGCAGCTGGGCCACAGCAGCCATTAGCTCAGGGTCTGAGGAGAGGTTAAAGTGGGGGCTCATTCCCCAGGGGATCACAGGCCTGGCTCTCCCAGCTGGGAGATGAGTGCGCTCTCTTGGCCTGCCTCTGCCAGGTTCCTGGGATCAATGCCGGGGTGGCCTAGGGCTCCTCTTCGCCACCTGGGGACATGGCCTGAAGAAACTTTCTGAGGTGCCCTGTGCCCAGTTGGGTGGTTCAGTGCCCAGCTCCTGGGATGGCTCCATCCTCTGTGGTGAGAGGCTGGCGTCGGCGCATGGATTGGGCCTGGAAGCTGTGAATTCCTGATGTCTAACCCCAGCCCTGGTAGTGACAGTGTGCCCTTGAGTGTGTCACATCCCTGCTCCGTGCCTCAGTTTCCCCATCTGTAACAAGGGGACATTGCTGCCTCCCCGATCACTGGGTTGATTGGACGCCCTTTGCAAAGCGCTTTGAAAACGGGCACAGGATCCTTACTGGCTGAGCCTGCTGCAGGGACTCCTCCTCCCAGGCAAGGTCACAGGCATGTCAAAGCCCCAGCTGCAAGCCCAAGGGCAGCACCAGAGGAGCCAGTTCCCCCCCAGTGTATTTCAGCTTTGCTCTTGGGCTTGGCCAAGAGGGGCACAGAGCAGGGGCTAGACAGGGGAGGGGGGCGCGCCGGCTCAAGCCTGAGTGTAGCCTAGGCAGCACGCTTGGCTTGGCCTCAGCAGACGCCTCTTGGCTTGCAACAGCCAGCATGTGAATTTGAGAGTGGAGGTTCGCAGAGAAGGGTCCTCCCCCTTCCCCCACATGGCCTTGGGGAGACTTTCTGGGGAGGGGGCGGGCAGCGGGGGTGACGAGCAGCTCACAAGGGAGCACCCCTTCCTCCTCCTGCCTTGGGTAAGCAGCACTCACCCCCTCCGCAGTGAGAGCGCCCCCTCCTGTTTTCATCAACTTCAACCCTGAGGGAGCTCTGCGAGCACCTGGCTCTGCCCTGGATTGCTCGTGTCCTTTCCCAGGGGAGCGAAGGCGCCTTGGCCCCTGGCCCTGCTGTACAACCCAGAGGCAGAGCAGCGGCTTGCTGGGCTCGTTGCATTCCAGGCCAAGTCTTAACACGCTGCCTGTGGGGCAGCCCTCGTCCCTGTCCTGCACGCCTGGCCTCCCTCTCCATCCGGGCTCCCGCTCACCTTCGCTTCAGCTCCCCCGGCCATGCTGTCACGGAGTCCCCGGGCAGTGCTCTGGAACTGCTCCCCATGAAGCCAGGCAGGACTCTGGGGAAGTCTCCTCTCTGGGAGCAGCCTGTCTTCAGGACACACAGCTCACACAGCTTCCACCTTCCTGGGTCTGACCTCGGAGCCTTCAGCCTCCTCTGCCCCTCCGTGCGCTTCCCACAGCAAGTCCGCTCAGGTGGGGTCCTGGGGAAGCCAGAGGGTCCTGCCCCCCAACTCCGCAGTCAGACGTGACTCTCAGCCAGCCAGTAAAACAGAGGTTTATTAGACGACAGGAACATGGTCTAAAACAGAGCTTGTAGGTGCAGAGAACAGGACCCCTCAGCTGGGTCCATTTTGGGGGGCAGTGAGCCAGACAACCACGTCTGCCCTTCACTCCATGTCCCAGCCAGCCCCAAACTGAAAACTCCCTCCAGCCTCTCCTCCTCTGGGCTTCATTCCTTTCCCGAGCCAGGAAGTCACCTGATTCCTTTGTTCTCCAACCCTTTATCTCTCACCTTGCAGCGGGGAAGGGCCCAGGCCATCAGTGGTCAGGAAACAGGGTGTCAGCCATTCTCTGTGTTCAGACCCCTGCACACACCTGCCCTCTAGGGCTCTGCAGTGATCATACACCCTTACCCCACCACCTAGATACTTAAGAACTGCCTAGGGGAAACTGAGGCACCCCCACACTATTCAGAGGAAACATTAAGAACAGTCCCACTTCGTCACACACGCGTCACCTGCTGTCCTACTCACGGGGCCTCCACACACCTCCCCTCCAACCTCTCCATCCTATCACTCGCTCATTCTCCAGCCTACCCACAAGGCACTGCACTCGTTCCCCCGTCCCTTCTCCTTTGACTGCCAGGCACCAGCCGCACAGCGGTGGGGTTAGCTGGGCCCTGGACAGGACCTGGCCCAACACCAGGGAAATGCTAGAAAAGTCAGGAATGTGTGACCGCAAGAGCTTGCCCTGAGATTCACTCCCTGGGAGAGGCTGTCACTGACTCCTTCCACAAGAGTGCCCAGAGATGGGCACAGCTGTGCTTGCAGGGCTGAGCCTGTCAGAGGGTGGGAGGCCCCCAGATGCTATCCCACAGGTAGAGTCTCGTGGTGAGCACAGCGAGGAGACCCTGTGGAGAGTAAATCAGGAAAAACGAGAAGCATAAACCTCAGGAAACAGCTGGGTGAGCAACAGAGAGAGAAAACCCCACTGCACCAGGGTGCCCAGTGCCAGCCGGGCGCATCCCCGGTGCTGACTCCCTGCTGTTAAATCACCAGCGCTCCTTGCAAAGGGGTCTCTGGGCAGTGGGCATGCTCCCCCAAAGGGCTCCAAAGCCAGGGCCTGGGCTACCGGACACGACAACCAGACTGCCCTGGGGACAGCACCTGGCCCAGAGCGAGGCGGGGACTGGCTGCAGAGAGCAGCCACTTGGGTTAGTGAGGTGGGAGGGAGCCAGGCCTCAGAAACAGGGATTGGGAGGCAGCATGGCCTAGTGGATTGAGCACAACTGAGTCCCAGTCTAGGGTCAAGTCCTGGCTCTGCCACTGGCCTGCTAGGTTCCCTTGGGCAAATCACTGCACTGCCCACTGTGTCATTTCCCCACTCCATCTGTAAAATGGGGATAATGATACTTCAGTAGTTATCCTTTGTAAAGTCTACCCAGGGAAGGGCTCAATGCTACTGTTATTAATATCCCAAGTCTCCGCCAGAGGGAGCCAGGAGCCTAGAGGAGTTTATTCTGCCAGGACAAACTAGCTCCTTCTTACCAAGGGCGCCAGTGACCTCAGCAGCCCGGTGCATGGTGACACTCTGCCTACCCCACACCTGCAGCCTCCCCCTACCCTGCCTTGCCTTGATCTCAGGTGCCACCTCCCAGGCACAGAAAAACAGGCCACTGGCCATGCCCCCTCACACCCAACCTGACCTTCCCTCCCCCCACAGCACTTCTCCAGAAGCCTGACCCCACTGTCCACAAGCCCCACCCCTGGGCAATGGGTCTACCTCACCCCAAACCGGTCCCCAGCCCCTGGACCCGGGTGTGCCCACCGCTGTAATGCATGTGGCCAGCTGCCAAGTTACCTCTGTGTGTAACAAAAAACCTGGCACGCCACGTCCCCCGACTGGCAAGCGGCTTGGGCACAGAAAAACCAGCCAGGCTGGTCAAAAACCAGCCAGGTGACTGCCAGCTCTGCACCCCCTTCCTCCTCCCCTTGGGGATCCCCTAAAAAAACCCAAAGTCTCCCCACACCATTCTCTTCCCTCCCCAAGTCTCCCTTGCCGGGGGGGGGGAGCAGGTAGGGGGCACTGGACATTAAACATTCGCTAACAAAGCCAGTTTACGTAGCTGGGGAGAGCAAATGGGTGAGCAGATCCCCAGGAGATCTGAGACCCCCAGAAAAGATGGGGTGAAGGGAGATAAAGAGCCCTAAGATCCCTGGAAAGAGGGAGTGTGAGTGAGGGTCAGAGACTGGGATGAACAGAGAGAACACGGGCACAAAACCCAGGCTGCCTTGCCCCAGGGCTCCCCTGAGGACAGAAAGCCTGGTACTGAGCTCCCACCTCCCTCCCTCCCTGTCCCTTCCACACCCCTTGCTTCCCACCCACTCTGTCTGGGAACAGCAGTACTGAGTGCGCCAGATCGGCCAGCAGCCTGGTTGTGTTTCCTCCCAGCCGCCTGGCTCAGGAACCTCGGAGAACGAACAGGAGATGGATTATCAGCTCTCACTGCCCCTCGCTCCGCCCTAGGTGGCCCCCATGCCGCTCTGGGCAAGAGGAGGGACTTTCCGCCCCCTTTCGCCTTTTTCAGAGGCGGGAGGCTGGGCTGCAGTGGAGTTTTAACTGAGTTGGAACCGGGTTTCCACAGGAGTCGGAGCTGGGAGTTCGCAGCGGCCAGCTGCTCTGGACGGGACGGGACGGGACGGGACAGGAGGGATCCCTGTCCGGGAAGGATGCAATTGGAATATCCCATCCCTGCCTCCTCTCTGCGCATCCTGCCTTCCGTCTGTGACCAAGGAGGCTGCGGCAACCTGGGGATGGTGCTAGCTCCATACCCCAGCTCTGAGCCACCCCAGAGCAGTGGGCCGAGTGCAGGCAGCGGGGCTCCCACCCAGATGGGCGAGGCGACCAAGCCCCCCTACAGCTACATTGCACTCATCACCATGGCCATCCAGAGCACCCCGGAGAAGAGGATCACCCTGAACGGCATCTACCGGTACATCATGGGCCGCTTCACCTTCTACCGGGACAACAAGCAGGGCTGGCAGAATAGCATCCGCCACAACCTGTCGCTCAACGAGTGCTTCGTCAAGGTGCCCCGGGACGACAAGAAACCCGGCAAGGGCAACTACTGGACCCTGGACCCCGACTGCTACAACATGTTCGAGAACGGCAGCTTCCTGCGCCGCCGGCGCCGGTTCACCAGGAAGCGCGGCCTGCGGGAGGCGCCGGAGGGCGAGGCGGAGGGGGCGCGGAAGAAACCGCCCAAGTACCGGGCCCGGCAGCACCCCCAGCCCTTGGCCCTCTTGGCCGAGGAGATCAAGACAGAGAGCAACTACTCCTCCCCTGCTCCCGCCAGCCAGGTGCTCAGCTCGTGCGGGGGGCAGACGGGAGTGAGACAGGCGCTGACCTTGGAGGTCCACGTGGGTACCAAGGAGTGTGGCCAGGGCAGCAAGGAGCCCAGCATCCATTGCCCAGAGCAGCCAGGCCAGGCCAGCCTGCTGACCACTAGGAAATACCTGCAGAAACCCAGGCAGGCGTGTCTGTACCCGCTGGAGGGGCCGGAGCCCAAACCCCAGCTCTTTGAGAAGCAGCCTTGCTACCCTGGCCTCGAGGGGCGCCTGCTGGAGACCCAGGGGCAAGAGAGCCCCCGGCTGAAGGAGACTGTCTTTGGGGGGCTTCAGCCCCCCATCCAGCTAGCTCAGCCCCCATACACTGCCCCGGGGGAGCGAGTGACCCAACAGCACCCCCAGCTGACCAGGGACATCAAGGAACCGCCTCAAGCCACACCAGCCCTGACTGTGTCTCCCGACAGTGAACAGGAGGGTAAGGAGTCTGGGGCGTGCACCATTGGGCTGTCCCAGCCATTCAGCCAGGTGGCCCCCGTGTTCCCAGCCCTGCTGGGGCCCAGCAAGCCCTCGCTGCCCTGCAGCCGGCAGCCTTCGCCAACCTGCTTCCCCTCCTTCGAAGGCGACAGCTATATCAAGCCGACACTGCCCGTCTTCAGCTCCTTCGGCTGCTCGGGCTCTGACACATTGGGCGGGAACTACCAGTGCCGGGTGCAGGCGCTGAGCTTCTGCATGAACGAGAGGGCGTGCAACTCGGCCCTGGAGCACCTCTTGACATCGTCACCGAGCACAGCTCCCGTGACCCCCATCCAGCCGCCCCCCTTCAGACCCGCCGTCCAGCTGCAGGGGGAGCAGAAGGAGTCGTGGGGTGGGAGCCCGTTCTCCCTGCCAGGAGGGAATGGTTACCAGCTGGGACTCCCCCACTGTCTTTACAGGACACCTGGCATGTTCTTCTTTGAGTGACAGGCCCTGCCCAGGACAGACCTTGCCCTCACAGCCTCTCTTGCCACCCACCGCTGTGCCCAGGACACCCCTGGCCATTCCACCTGCCCTTTGGAGAGCTGACGCCAAGGAAGGGACTCTCCATGTAAGTTATTCTCTCCTACTGCTTCCTGCCCAGTGGTGACTGCCTGATGGAGCTAAGAGGGACCCTGGCTCCCAGGAGAAATCACTTTGGGTACCGTACCACCTGCTGCCAGCATCCTTTTGCCATGGCTGTTATCCCACGAAACTAGAACCCTGCATGGGAGACAGGGGCTGAATGGAACTGTGTCCTGGCTTGTGGAATAAAACACATCCCCCAACTGCATCTCGCCTCGGTGTCTCTGCCTCGGCGGCCCGGGAGCATCATGCGAAGGGCAGGTGGGACTGAAGAGGTGGAGGTGGGGGGAGAAGGTGCTGCTTGGGGTCAGCTGGTTCTCCCATGCCCTGCACCCTGACTTGTCATTTACACCTCTTGGCACCAGCAGTGTTCTCCACTCACCCCTGCAGGAGCATGGCACGGGGACCCAGCCCCGGGGGCTTTACTGGCCTCTCTAAAGCAGAGTGTTAAAGGGACGCACGTGGTTTGTACTGTAAGAAGGTTTCTGCCGTCGGCTCTCTGTGCTGCAATGGGGCTTACACACCAGGGTAGACACCTCAGAGTCACATGGGGCCTCGGGCGGTTGTTCCTTAGAGGGAGGAGTGCAGGCTGCTGGGTGAAACCTAGGTCATGAGCTGCTGAATTCAAATCCCAGCTCACCACTGAGGAGTCTAGGCCCAGCGCTAAGGCCGGTGGCCCAGATTTTCCAGCATGACTAGTGCTGTTGGCCTAAATGGAGACACTGTAAAGATGCCGATGTTGGGAGGGTGGCGGGTGCTCGGCAGCTCCAGGAAACCAGGCACCTGCGAGGTGGCTCAAGCTGGGCACCCAGCGATGATGGGATGTAAAATCAATGGGCACCTTTGGAAAAGTGCCTGCCCATCTCGGCATGGCTGAGACCACCTCTGTAAAACAGGGACACGGACACGTGTGTCTCGGGGACTTGCAAGGCCCAGCGCTGTGGCCGTGCCCACCCCAGACACAGGCAGAGTAGGCTGGTGTTTGTGTTGCACTCGCCGAGGGGCAGAAAGGGCGTCCTAACAATGATTTTGAATCAAATAATGAACTAAGCCATGAAGGGCAAAGCTCGCTGCAGCCACCCACCTGGAAGTGCCCCTTATGGCAACAGCGCTTCCTGGGGCAGCACATGGCTTCCTCTGCACCCGGGGGATAGCGGGGAGGAATCCTACTTCCTTTGGCTGGTTCCACTTTCAGCTGGCAGAAGCCATGTTGCCCCTTCCTCCCGGGCAGGGCTGCTGGGAGGGGCCACAACCACCCCATCCCCTGGGTGGGGCTCGCTCACCTGCCCCCAGAACTGCCCCTAGTGAACGTAGGTCCTGATCTCCATTTGTCAGGACACAGGGATGGGGTGGAGGGAGAGAGATCGCGCCCATCTGCAGTTCCAGCAGGCCAGTGCCCTGAGCCAGCTTGGGGAAGGCTGGCGCAGAGAGGATAGGCTGCAAGTCTGGGCCTTGGGAGACCCTGGTGCAGCTGGCTGCTCTGCTTCAGATTCCCTGTGCTTTAGGCTCATCTGTCCCCCTGCTATACGCTGGCGATAAGAGCCGTGCCCCGCCCCACGGGGGGAGATTGTGCGGTGATGGCGGCCAGGTGAGTGCCTGAGGCAGAACGCAACTGAGCCCCATCTCCTGCTTCCGGATCAGTGTGGGTGTTACCTGCACCCTGCCGCAGGCCTGAGCACAGTTCAGCCCCCTCAGTGCCAGCGGGCTCGATGTGTGATGGAGCTGGGTCCGCACGCTGGGAATGGGTCGTTTCTGTACCGCAGCCTGAGCCCCAGAGCAACAGCCAGCTGTGGGTGTAAGGGGTCACCCAGCAGGCAGGGTTAATAGCACTCCAAACCCTCCAGGTAGCAGGAAGAGTAGTTCCCTGGGCAGGGGCTGGGGTGGGGTGGGGGTTGTATCATGTTTGTAGCCCCCCCCCCCCCGGGCAGTGAGAGTGTGCAGAAACCACATCCGAGATCTAGTCTACCTTGCTAAGCTCTTTGCAAACCCTCTCGGAAAGGCCCAGACCTAACCCAGAGAGCTTCCAGGCTAGGCATTCGACAGGATGCAGCGCGGGACAGCCCCGGAGCAGCCCCTGGCACGGCTCAGAGCGGAGAGGAAAGCAGCAGCAGGAGAGGGGAAAGTGAATGTGGGTTTGCAGCATTCTTCCAGCTTTACTCGTGACACACAGGTCTGACTCACTGCACGCTGTAGGACTCCACAGGAGAGGTGCTGGGTGGACGTGTGGGCAGCAGGACTATATTTGTGCCGGGCTGAAGATTGCAAGTAGCAGGGCAGGAGCTGGGCTGGGATACAACGTCTGAGCGTTTCTGTGGGGAGGCTGAGGCCTATATCACGAGTTGCCAGCTGAGTCAGAGGAAAAGGAAGATGTTCTGGCTGCAGCTGTAGCTAAACTCTGGGGGGCAAGGGAGCCCCCAGTCCCTTGAGAAGTGTTTGCCAGGCTAATCCCCTCCCTCTCCCCCCACTGAGGGTGTGCAGCACCCCACCCCTCCCCAGATGGTGCCCCCCGGAGCGGCAGGCTGTTCTTAGACATGGTTCCCTGCTGGCAGTGTGCTCACTGCCCGGTCACCAGTATCTGGGCTGATGTCTCAGCAGCAATGCACACCCTGGGCTGCAGCCTGGCCCCTCGCACCGGCCTCTTCCGAGAGTCTGCCTGGCTTTTCTTCACAGCACTGTCCGGACGCCCCATGTCAGATGGACCCAGGGCAGCTCCCAGCCACACATGGAGGGTAGGAGTCCGGGGGGACAGGCCTGTACTGAGGAAGAGTCCGTGCCAAGTCTGAGCCCGCATCCTCCTCCCCCCCCCCGCCGCCAATGCCAGGGAGCAGAGATGAGATGCATTTGTGGAGAAGTTTCCAGACTTTCAGGGTGGGATGGGGGTGAACAAGAGAGTGGTTGAACAAGTCACCCCCTCAGCTCAGGGCCCTAGGGAATGGCACACAGGGCGTGAGGTTAGCCAGGGTGCCCCCCTCGTGAGCAGCAGGCAGGAATGGACCTCTCTGTTGCTCGGGCTGAGATGCTGGTCCCTCTCCTCATCTGCCAAACAGGGAAATGCTGAAACTGCCGAGTTCCTGGCCACGAACCAGGAAAGGGAGCTGGAATTACCCAGTGGACAGAGGGGATCGTGTTGCCAGAGCCACCACCACCCCACAGGCGTTGGCTGAGAAAGAACAGCCCCAGGGCCTTTCTGGGGCATCCAGGGATGATCTTCTAACACTCCTGGGCCTGAAGGAAAACAGGGCTAGTTGTTCTGGCCTCTCCCCAGCAGGGCCACATGGCAAAGCCAAGCGCTGGCTGAGCCCCCTTCTGCGCCTCCGAGGCAGATGGCAGGACAATTCCTTCCTCCTTCACCACGGTGTGGAAAGGAAGGCTCCAGAAACCCAGCCTGCTGCTGCGAGAAACACCGTGCCAGGGCCACCCCAGCCTGGTGCCGCCACCCCCAGGAAATGCCAGGCGAACGCAGCAACACCTGCCAGGCTGCTCGGAGCAGGTGGTCTCACGTTTGCCCCAACCCCTGGCATTCATAACCCAAGAGCCAGGCCCAACAAAATCAGAGATCAGGAGATTTTATACAACAGCACATTGTGGGGTCTTTGCCTTCTGGGGTTTGAGCCTTGAGGGGCTACATTTTAAAGCTTTTCTCCGCAAGCGTGAGGGCTAGAAATTTACTCTTTTAAAACGAAAGCGGAGAGTCTCTTCTAATAACCTGACCCCAAGAGCTGGGGCTTTAAGAAAAACACAAAATATTGCAAGACTGTTAATAAAATGAGCATTGCCACCACCGGCGAGTGTCTCCTGTCCTCCTCAATAGTCACCATATATGTGTTTGAATCAGCGTCTAACCAGACCCAAGGCTTGTCCACATGGTGGGTCACTGAGTGGCACACAAGGGCATGACTACAGCGAACAAGCTTGCCGCACAGCTCCGCCATGTGTGGACAGTGCTACAATGCAGTGAAAAGCCCAGCGTGTGTTTTTTTCAGCAGGGGCCACACAGGATGTTACTGCTGTGGCATGTTGGTGTGATGCACATTCACACCCTGCCGTGCTGCACAGTAACTTGCCATGTAGACAAGCCCACAGACTCTGCTCAGCACCTGAGAAATTAGCATCTCTGTCCCAGGCCACACCCAGAGCCCATCCAGAGCCTTCCTCAGAGGCCAGCGAACCCCCAGAATCTCCCCTAATAATGCCAGGATGCGAAATGTCAGGCAGTGCCCCCCGATGTCCCAAAGCAAGCTAGCTAAGCCGCCTGTCAGCCTCGCTAGTGTGTCTGCACAGGCCCGCCCCTCGAACTAGCTGGCTGCGCACTTCCAAGGAGTAACAAGAACAGGGGGACTTGTGGCACCTTAGAGACTAACCAATTTATTTGAGCATGAGCTTTCCTGAGCTGCAGCTCTTTTTGCGAATACAGACTAACATGGCTGCCTGAAACTTACAAGGAGTGTGTATCAGCAGCTTTGAAAAACAATCAAAATGTATCTGCCCAGGCAAAGACAGTTCTTCACTGACCTTTCCCATGATCACCGATGATAATTGAACCATTCAATGTTGTTTCCTCACCCATAAAGTGGGTGAATAGAACCGTGACCAGCTGCTTTATAATCCTGTCTGAACGACATAGCAATGGCCTAAGATAGACATGCAATCTTGGGATTTTCCCCCACACCAAGCATTTGTCTTGACAATATCTTCTAGCAGTGAGTTCCACAGGTTAGATGCTGAGCACAGCATCAGTGCCTCTTCCCCAGTCTATGTTTGGTGCCTTTGGAGAAAGGCAGGACAGGCAGACACAGAGGGCTGGCAAGCCCAAGAAGCCTTATTTTCCAAGCCACAGATTGAGGAGAGAAATGTTTGCTCCCCTTTTTTCCTAAATCCAGAAACGTCAGAGCCTGTGACCTCTCTAAATGCCCCCTAGGCCATACATGGGGCAGGGCAGAGGTTTATGGCACCTGAGACAAGGAACGAGCAGAGAGCAGCACTGGAAAGGACGGAACGGAGAAGTAATCGGAAGAGAAGGGCAAAGAGACAGCGTGGTGAACAGAGGGGTGACAGACGAGGGGGGAGGTCTGAGGAGAGCAAGCGAAGGAGCGTGAGGGTGGGGGAGGAGACCCAACGCTGAACGAACCCAGTGGCAGCTCCAGGCCCAGAGGGCTGGCAGTGTCGGGGCTAGACAGGGAGCTGGGCAGAAAAGGGGAGACAGCCACATATGGGGCTCAATCCTGCAGGCCTGGAGTGCCTGGCACACCTGTTCAGCAGCCAGCCCCACAGACTGTGTGAATAGGGTGAGCAGTCACCTTTCTCTCAGAGGGTTTTCCCACATGGGGTGCCGAACGTCCCATGTCTGTACAGGATGTGCTGGGTCCTATGTCCCAGCGATGCCCGTGGCCGGCACTGCCAGGCTGGGACTCTGTGCGGAGTGGGACTTTGTCCCACAGGTCCAACACTGGGGAAGAGTGTGTGTGTTTGGAGGGGGGTGTGGGGCTCCCTACAAACCCGCTTCACCCTCCATTTGTCCCCATACACCTGCCCTGCCACTCCTCGCCCATTCTGCAAACAAAACGGAACCAGAGGAAACAAACCAAGCTCCAAGGGCCTGCTGGGCCGACTCGAATCATAAATAGTGAGGAGCCTATCGTGGCGTGTCTGCGTTTCACCCTGGCTCCTCCGGAAAGCCACGAGGCAGGGCCCGGCTGGGTGAGGGGCCCAGCCAGGTGATGGGCCCCGGCTGTTCCTCAGTTTCTCACCAAGAAGAGCCGAAGCCAGAGAGAACATGCACTCGGCTTAGTGGGGGAGGGGAGGGGCTGGCGTCACTCAGAGACCAAATGCATTTCCAGCTGCGTCACCCCCTGTGAATAAGCCCAAACACCCCCCAGATCCTGGCTGCGCCCAGGGGGAGAGGCAGCGATGGGGTGCAATTCGTCATCCAAGGAGCAGGATGGGACTTGGGTCCAGGTTTTATTTTCTCCCTTTCATTTTTTTTTCCCAGTGAAAAACAATATTTTGGGCCATAGATCATGTTGGCGTCTGAAAAGCTGTCTGTGAAGGGAACGTCTGACCTCAGCTCCCTCCTTCTCACATTCCCCGGGGGCACTGGAGGAAGCGAGCCCTGCTGAGCCGTGCCCAGGGGCCGTCTGGTTCCCACAGATCCAGGCCAGGCCTTTCACCCGAGCTGAGGGGTTCCAGCATCCTCGCTGGGAATGTGCTTTCCACCCAGCAGCGGCCTCTCTCTCTCCCACCCTCCTCCCCCACAGTTTCCACCAAAGGCTGAAATCTCGAGCAGCACAAGCTAAGCGAGAAGTGGGAGCTCCCGGCACTGCAGGCCACAGGCTTGTGGGGGTGGATGAGTGAGTTTTCGGCGGGACCCCAAAAACTGAACCATGGGCTTTGTCTGCATGCGTGTGGTACGGGCTGTGAGTGCTGCTTATCTGATTGGTACGGCGTCCATGGCGGGCTGGGACTTTGCACATCAGCTTGGAGCTGTTCCCGTGTGTGTCTCATTCCTGCTGGGGAACGTCTGACCTCCAGTCCCTGTGAGATCACACAGCAGAGGCAAATGGCTGTGAAACCCAATCAGCACTGTGAGTGGGGCTGGGGCAGACACAGGGCAGGGCCAGGGCGCTCCCGGCCTCCTGCAGTGAATGGGGCAGAGATGATGCCCACCCACCGGCGGGCGAGCCAGGCTGGGGCAGAGATTCAGATCTAGTGTTGCCATGGGCATTGGAATGCATTTTACTGAGAACAGGAACCGAGAGTGAGATACCAGGGTTCACCCCTCAGCCAGACCCTCCTTTCCCCAGCCTGAGAGGACGCTGATAGGTGCTCGGCCTGAAAGACCACACCTCAGAGGAACTATTAATCCTCTGTAGCCAAGGCCTTCACCAGCCCTCACCCCCTTTCTCCGATGGCTGGCCACCTCCTCCTTCTTTGGTCATCAGTTTCCTCTCAGTCCCCTTTCCACGCACGCCATAGTCTCGAATAATGGTGAACACCCACCCTCTCTGCTGAGCCCCAAGATCCAGCTGCCTCCTGGCTCCTTTTCTCTACTGAGTGACTAAATTCACAAGAGCTACCCAATAAGTCCGTGCCTGGGAAAGCCAAGGGCTGCTCCGGTCTTGGGGGTTCTTTGCAGTTGGAGCAGCCCTGGGCTTGGAGGAGGCAGAGATCGTGAGGTAGGGGCTGGCCACTATATTCATCTCTAAGGCGGGGCAGGATAGCGCTAGGAAGTGGAATCTCTAGGCGAGGGAGGGTGGCTAGGAGGGAGCAGAAGTTTTCAGGACCAGGCCTGATACCTGGGTCAGTACTTGGAAGCTACTGGTACAGTCCACCCCTCTGCCAAGCTTGTTCCCTCCTGTGTTAGTCTCTGGTGCTTTGGCTAGTCCAGTCTGAGCGAGCATGAATGCATGCTGCATTCGGCTCCTCAGAGCCTTGCTACTTGATCAAGTCACCATAAAACCCACAAACGATTCAAACCCTTGAAAGCCCCATCAAGGCCGCGAAGCAAGGAAAACATCCTGCCAGAGCTCCCAGAGCCTCCGTGTCCAGGGGCCAGGGCTGCTCTCCATTCAGCCGGTCCCCTGGGGAGACGGTTCGTCATTACCTCACACAGACAGAATGTCCTCACTTGGGGCTGGGCATAGGTCTTATGCTCATGGTATTACAGCAAAACTCAGGGAATCCTGCACTATTGGCCCGAGCTGCATTCTTGTGACTGCCTCAGTCACCCTCTACAGCATAGGACACGGCAACCTGCCGTGGGCAACCACGCCTATGTCACCTCTGTCTGATTCCACCCCAGCACCAACACCCCCCCGGGCACTGAGTCTGTGCTGCATTGCAGCGTGGCGTCCAGCAACCTCCACCCTGAGTCCCGCCCGCACTACGGCTGCCTTACAGCCAGTCGTGCATCAGGCAAGGTCCTCACTAGAACGTCATGACGGTTGTTCTTAAACCTCCCTAGGGAGACCTTAATTCAAGGGGAATAATGATGGTTTGTTTCGCAGCAGCCTTGGGAGTAGACCCAGACCTTGTCTCGTAACAAAGCCATGCTAGCGGGAAGTGACTTCTGGTGCTACCCTGCCAATGCAGTCCCCTGAAGCTCATGCCTGGGGTGGGGTGGGGTGGGGTGGGAAGTCATTCTCTGTTTAGTTCAGGGCTGTGTTCTCTCACCCTTAGCTTCGCCAACAGGCCCAGCTTTGAGCAGGAGCTGGGCTGCTCTCTCCTGGGGGGAGGGGGGATTCCTTTTCCACGTTCGTTCATTAGCGAGCATGCAGGCCTCACTTCCCCTTCCCAGGAGCAGCGCTTCCAGGAGCTGAAGCTCGGGAGTTGAACACTTTGATCCTAGCTGTTGTGCTTGGAGCTCCTGGTTCAAACACCTGCCGCTCGCACCCTGCTCTCTTGTCACCCCCGACTAGCCAGCGCTCAGCACAGAGCAATTTCTCCTCCCACCCAGACAGTTCTACCTTCCGGATGAGGCGAGAATCATCCTGGGAGCTAGGGCTGCATAGGAGAATGCAGGCATCTGTCCAGCCCACCCACTGAGCGCAGAGCAGCAGCAAGGAGGAAGGAGAGAAGCGAGGGAGTGGGAGCAGGCAGTGTGTTGGAGAGATGCTGGGCACTGCTGGGGTTTGCATTGCTTGGAGGGGAGCTGGGATTTCTCTATGTGCGTGCGCATGTTCCGGTGTCACCGGACAGAGCGAAGGGCAGGTCCTGGGCGCCCTGGCTGAGCCCCTCTCCAGATTGGCCCTGGCACGCGAGCCTGACTCTAGCCCCTCCTGACGTA